CAAAATCAGACAAGGTTAAAATTGCACTCGCTTATCAGTGAAAAGTGCCCGTAGTTTGAAGGGACAACATCATCGTCTTTTTATATTATTAGCTAATTCGTTAAATGATAGTAGTAAAATCGTACAATTTGTAACAATATATTCACAAAATGGTTTGAACATCTATAACAATGTATAACAGCACAACATTTCTTTTGTGTAAATAAAAATCTTCATGTTTTTTTTTTGTTGTTTTTGTTTTTTTAACTTTTTTAACGGATGCTTCCAATATTCCTACTTCTATAAATACCTTTAATACAAATTCCTTGCATTTTCTTTTATTCCGTGAATAAAAGTGTGTACGTGCGTGCGTGTGTGTTAACGAATGTCAAAGAGGTTTTATTGTCAAATATTACAGAGGGTTATTTTTTTCAAGTGTTACCGTGGGTTTTATCTGGCATGTATTTTTTTGATCGATTTGAAGTATCACAAATACTAAACGATGACTCTTCATATCTTGGTGATCTGTTTAAATGAGAACACTTGGCTCGACACTTTCGGTTTAGCTTATTGTTATTGTAGATTTATTTTAATTATATTATATGTATATGGATAGTTCAAATCAATGCGTATAAGTATTCCAATAAAAATCTAATTTGCATTTAAAATTTATAGGTCTATAATGGGCACATTTTTCATTAGTATTTAAAATATTAGCAAGTTAAATGTTGATACTGCACATCAAAGAGGCCGCCAAATGATGGGAACAGTCACAAGTAATGTACAAAGTCAGCCTCGACAAATTTTATATATTACAGTTGAATATCCTAAGCAATAATTATTTTTTGCACGTCTTGGTATGTGCACGTTGTTTTATAATAAAGTTGCATATTTTTGTGAAAAGGTAATTGTCTGTTGCGACAAAGATTGAAAGGTCTGGTCGATTCAAAATTAATTGGGTAACAAGTAAAATTAAATGATTGATATACATGAAATAAATTCAAAACAAAGACAGAGGTAAAGAAAAATATCTCCGTTGCGCCGAGAATATGTCCATTTAAATATTTATACAAATTGCATAATGGTCAAATGATTTTAAGGACGAAATGTTTGTTATTTTACAAATAGCAATATGTATGTAATATCAAATAATAGTTATGAATAAATTGTAAAATGTAATCAATTCTTAGTTACGTATTTTTTACTTATTTATTAATAAAAGATTAAACGACCTGATGAAACACAAGATTGCATATTTGCCTGGAACCACTAAATGTTATAAAATATTCTAGGCAAAAGAGAACAATCGTCATAGAATCCTTCAAAATAACCTATTGCAAATATTTGTGATACAATTTAAATCTGTTTTTATAACTTAAATGTTAATTATTTCCATGAACAAGCACACGTTTTGCCGGTTTTGCGCCAGAAGCTTCAAAATATCACCGTTGCGTATGTTAGTCATACCTCTTGTTCCCTGTCCAAATTTGGTTCCTGTCATTAGAATATAGACATGTTATTTATTAGGTAAATAACATTAGATAATGATAAAAGAATATGATATTCAAACATGGCACTATCACTTCAGTTAAACGTTTTTTGCTTTAATTCCTTATAGCTCGGTAACTTGTTGTACACCAGAAAAACTCTTTTTATTAGTAAATTTGAAAACAGTGTGATTTTTTTAAAGCAAGGCTAGAATTTTCCCAAATGCAGCGGCGTCTAATAAAAACAGGAAATGTATCATTTAGATATTCTTATAACATACCGCTTGTAAAAATAATATTAACGTTCTGACTGATTTTATAACAAACATTTATCTGATATAAATAATAACATTTTGTTTTAGAACATTTTAGTATTCGCTGTATAACAATATGGCATATCGGATCATGTTTAACACACTTGCAAACAACCTTCATAATTTTTTCAGAGGATGGTCACCAAAAAAGGGTCATAACTATGTCAAAATTAAAGTCTGATCTATTGGCCTTGGATAGTGATCTCCTAATATGACCCTAAAGACATATATCAAGTAAATGCCTTCAGTATTTTCAAAGATTAATGCTGCATGTAAAAGAAAGTGCATATAAGTGGTTAATTATCTCGTACGCACGACTTAGTAATTCGTAGTCACGACATAGTAGCTCGTGCGCACGATATAAATAAACACACGAACACACAAGTCATCTCTGTAACACCGTAATTAAAGGCACTTATTTTTACATTGTTTAATGAATGAAAGTGAATTATGTCCAATTAAAATAATTGCACGAAAATTCCGTGTGAATATAGATTACCCACACCTTGCGCTACCTTAAGCTTATAGGCCATGTAAATTTTTTTATAGTTTTATATTTTCAACAAAAATATTATTATACCCCCAAAAACGAAGTTTGGGGGGTATATAGGAGTCACCCGGCGGTCGGTCGGTCGGTCGGTCCAGACGTCCGTTGCATTTTCCTTGTCTGGAGCATAACTTGAAGACTAATAGTTGGAATTCAATATAACTACATACAATGGTCAAGCACATTGAGAGGAAGTGCAGTGCACAAGAACCATAACTCTATCTTGACTAATTACAGAGTTATAGCCTTTTTTACTTTTCCTTGTCCGGGGCGTAACTTGAAAACTACTGGTTGGAATTCAAAACAACTTCATACAATTGTCAAACACAATAAGGGGAAGTGCAGTGCACAAGAACCATAACTCTATCTAAAGTAATTACAGAGTTATTGCCCTTTGTTGCTTTTCCATTGCCTTTTTTGTCCGGACCATAACTTGAAGACTAATGGTTGGAATTCAATATAACTTCATACAATGGTCAAGCACATTGAGAGAAAGTGCAGTGCACAAGAACCATAACTCCATCTTGACTAATTACAGAGTTATTGCCCTTTGTTACTTTTCCTTGTCCAGAGCATAACTTGAAAACTACTGTTTGGAATTCAATACAACTTCATACAGTTGTCAAGGACATTAAAAGGAAGTGCAGTGCACAAGAGCCATAACTCCATTTTGACAAAATACAGAGTTACTGCCCTTTGATACTTTTCCTTGTCAGGAGCATAACTTAAAACGTACTGGTTGGAATTCAAAACAACTTCATACAATGGTCAAGCACAATAAGAGGAAGTGCAGTGCACAAGAACTATAACTCTATCTTCAGTATTTATAGAGATATTGCCCTTTGTTTCTTTTCTTTGTCTTTCTGGACTTATTACAGAGTAATTCAATTAAACTTCATCAATGGCCAACCACATTGAAAGGAAATGCAACATATAAGAACCACAACTATCTTTAATTGCCCACAACCATAACTCTATATTTTAATTCTTTTACAAGGTATTCTGTTACTAGTAACATCCTCATTTCCGAAGCAGTCTTGTGGGGGTATTAATCACATTTAGTGATAGTTCTAGTTTCCAATAAAATATATATTTATTATTAAATGTGTGCATTAATGTATCTGGTCTTTACACTCAATCGTCGTATAAGTCGAATAAAGTTACTCTTCTTTTTTTTCTTCAAAATTGTCTTCTTACAGACGTAAAGATGACAGTTCCCTAGACAAACAACATTTTATCCTCGGCTTCGCCTCGGACAATTTGTTGAAGACACTTTTGGAGAAAAATGTGTACTGTATATTTAACAATGTTCTGTATTATGAAATCCAAGTAATATATTTTTACCATTGATTTAATGGTCATATAAATAATATGTTATCTGTAAAAGAGAAATGATTTGTTTTACAACACAATTCAAATATATGAAAATAGGAAAATTGTTTAAATAAGCGTCATAGATGTCAAACAGTTAAATGATCACGTATAAACAGTTGTTACCAATATAATCTTCGCTTTGTGAATCAGGTTGTATAAGCTGATATAACCCACGAGTAGTTAATCTGGTGAAATAAGCTGATATAACCATCGTCTAGTCAATCGGATTATATAAGCTTATATAACCATCGCAAAGTGAATCTTGTTATATGAAGTTATATAAACCTCGTCTAGTGAATCAGTTTATATCAGCTTATATAATCTTGCTTAGTGAATCTGGTTAAATAATGTTATATAAACCTCATCTAAGTGAACCATGTTATATAAGCTTATATAACCATCACATATTGAATCTGGTTATATTATTGGTAATAAAGATTGTTGACAGTTTATATGGCCCTATATAAACGGCTATTTGTAAATATAACCCGAGCCGCTAGGCGAGGGTTATATTGTAAACAGCCGTTTTAATACGGCCATATAACCTGTCAACAATCTTTATAACGAATTTATAATACAGCAAGCATCGTTTTTTAAAGAAAAAAGTAAGATTTCTTCATGAGTCGACAGCAGCCGTATATATTAAACTATATAAACGTCACGATTATCCAATGAAAAGTGACGTTACAAACGTGCAGTATTATAAAAGCTTATATAACCACGCCTATTGAATCTGATTATATAAGCTTATATTTCATTTGCTTAGTGAATCGGGTTATTATAGCTTATATAACCCTCGTCTAGCGAATATGGTTATATAAGCTTTTATAACCCTCGACTAATAAATCTGTTTATATACGCTTTTATTATCCTTTTCTAGTGACTCCGGTTATATAAGCTTACAACCGTTTATATTGCACTATTGAACCTGGCCATTTTTTACTATATTGTATGTTTAATGAATGTTGATAAATTAAATAAATAAATGTGTTATTTTTCTCAGTAGCAATGTTCCACCATTTCTTACACATCATTTTACAAAAAAAAACATATAGTACCTCGTAGATCTATTAACGTCAGATATTCAGCAACTATTAATTAGACTTCTCGATTGTTTATAAACTTAAAGAAACGTTGTTCTAGTTAACATTGTAAAAAGCTTTATCTGGCAGTAGTTATTTAAGCATACTTACTCTTTTATTTGCTCACTACCTTAACATTAATTGATTGGTTATTAATTAATTCATGCGTTAATTGATTGACAGATTTGTTTCGCTTTAGTTAGTATGATCAAATGAGATGAATTCGACGCATGCGCTTTGACAAGGTATCACGTGATCTTTTATATATGTGTTGGATTTGCAACTACATAATTTTTATGTCTAAAGTAATCTTAGGTAAGTAAGACATATTTATGTATATCACTTTAATATATTTTTTGAAGTTAATTTGCAATAAACCATTTGTAAAAAGATAAAGTTAAACGCAATAAAAATAAAGAAATTAAAGCGAAATTAGATATTGATTTAAAGAAAATGGTTTTCCATTTTCTTAAAATAACTGTTATGTAAAGTTAATTTTCTTAGGTCACGCTCGGGTAAGCAAACATATTAGTTAAAGTAGTGTATGAAAGCTTTTGTTTGTGTGATGATCAGGTGATAAAGTCCAGAAAATGTATTTTGTTTGTTAACATAACATAACATAACATGTTTTTTTTTATTAAGCATTAAACATATTTTACAATGTTTATAGCCAACATGGAGAAAAGAAAATGTTAATAATGGTAAACGCAGTGAGAGTAATGGTTAACATGTTTTCTAGAAGAACTAAGATTTCTAATTCTTACATAAAGTATAAAGCAAAAGCGCATTTTATCTTTAGTATAAAATATACTGATAACACATTTTTCAAAAGAAAGAAATATCTAAATTTCAAGTAAAACTGTTAACATCAATGTTTATCCGTTGTACACATGAAATATATTGACGACATATCATAACAAGGACAGAACAACAAAGTGTACTGATAACAACATTTTTAGGGAAAAAACAACATATATGAATATTACTTGAATATGCTGGTATACATATAACATTATATATTACATATTACATTATGTGAAAATAAACAAAGAATATTTTGTACATAGTGTAATGATAACAGCTGCCTTATGCATACCCTATATTTCTGAGCCAAAATTTAGTATGGAACAAAAAATTTCCGTGCGACCGTTATTTCTATATTTTTAAAGATTAAAAAAATGTTTATACAGCACACAAGATGCGTGTTGTGCTACACATTCTTTTGTTCGGTGCCAATTACCGTTTTGAACAAAGTGATCCCCATGTTCTTAAATGATTGGACGACCTCTATTGCTGTATTATATATGTAAATTACATACTGGGCATGTCTACCCTTTTCGAATATCTTAGCTTTTGTCTTTGATACATTAATTTTCAGGCCCCATAAGTTACAGTAATTCTCAACATCGTTTAGTATTGACTGAATGGTTTCGGTAGATTTTGCAAAGAGTACCTGATCATCTGCAAATAGTACAAGGAATAGCTTCAGCTTTTTTACAGTAAATATATCACTGAAGTTACTGTCTATAATTATCTATGAGATCGTTTACGAACAACATAAAGATCAAAGGTGAACTCGGATCTCCCTGCTTCAATCCTATGTCTGAGGTGAATAAGTTTGAAAGAGATCTTTTATATCTAATACATGTTTTAACATTATGATACATTGATCTAATTGCTTTCACAAGTTTACAACTTACATTTTCAGATAACAATTTTTGCCACAAGTATGATTGATCAATTTTATCAAAGCACTTTTCATAGTCAATAAAAATACAAAATAATTTATCGACAGAGTTTAACACTTTGGAAATAATCGAATGAAAAATGAAAATGCAGCCTGTAATTGATTTACCATTTTGGAAATCAAACTGGTTCTGTGTTATTTTTTCATGACATTCGGCCCATTTTGTCAGTAGATTCAATAGAATTTGAGAGTAAAGTTTGGCTAAAATGAGGGTAATTCCTCGATAATTTTGTGGATCGTTTACATCACATTTTTTAGAAAATTGGAGTTAAAATTCCTTCCCCCCAACCTGTCGGGTATTCGCTAGAACTAAATAACCTATTGTAAAGTTTGAGTAAAAATGGAGATATAATATCGTAGGTTGATTTGAAAATTTTCACTTGGTAGAGTGTCAGTACCTGGTGATTTATTATCGTTTTGGTCGAAGACTGCGGTATGAAGTTCGAGTTCCGTGATTTCTGTATCTAAATTCTCGTCTTTTACTATGTGATAATAACGTACCGAACAAAGATTTAAAATGGTCGTGTAACTGTGTAATGGTTACAGAATCCGGTTGTACGGTATTACCTTTCGAAATATTTTTAATGTTTTTCCAAAATTATTTAGGCTGTTTTCTTGCCATTTTACTAACTCGCAGGCCCTCATTTTTCCTGTAAAACTGTTTTGCTCCGCAACAAAAGATGTACGCGAGTCATTAGATTTATTCCTATTAAATATTTTTCGGGCAATTCTCAAGTTTTTTTCGCGCTTCATTACAGTCTACGTTGAACCATTTATTATTTACACGATTATGTGACCGGTTTACATTGTTATTTTAGTGTTTATCAAATACAGTGCGGGCGTGGTAGGATAGAAAAGTAGTAAATTATTGTACCACGTGGTCAGGAACGCGTGAATGTACACCATTAACAAGCTGATTTAAAGCGCGATTACTATGCATCAAGAGGTCCCTAAATAGGGGTATTTTATATTTGTCTGCTACTGGATCCTCCCTATCGGGCATGTGTAGCGAAAAGAAAGGAGGCGCGTGATCAGAGAATTCATTGAATTCTACTATTTCGAATTCTGATATTATATCAAAATCAGCTAAATCTAATAAATTGTTGTCAACGGTACTAAGACCATTTTTGAACAGAACGTAAAACTCCCCTTACTAGCCTCGGACAGCAGACGGCAATTTGCGATCAATAAACTTGTAGATTTAAACCGAGTAGGCGCCGCCCAAAATTATCAATCACGTGATCTAGATTTACTCTATCTGGGATCTGTTTTGTATTCATAGGTACTCTATCATCTAAATATTTATCAAACTCTGTGTAACGTATTTAAGTAGACGTTCTACTGTTAAGATCTCCAGTAACTAGTACTTTTCCTAGACATGTACACTTAACAATATCTAATTCTAACTGATGAAAGTGATCAAAATCGTTGATAACATTCGCATTCGAGTTTATTGGGGGTATATATGAATGACAAATAATTACATCCTGCTTAAAATAAAAAAGTTTTGCAGAAATATTTACGCAGACAATAACATTTGATTCTTTTCAAAAAAATTTATAATTTAATAATTAATTTTTATATAGTTCTTAAGTTCATTTTTAAAATATACCGATATGTCTCCATTTGTGCATCCTCTTTTCCTAAATAGTGTTTATTTTCATAGGTATGATCACATATAAATCCATCAATGTTTAAGTTAATGTCGTCAGGATTTTTAATCCATGTTTCATTGAAAAAAAAACAATATCATAGTTGTTAAGATAATCCAAAAAAGATTGTTCAACAAGTTTTCTCTTTTTTATCAATTTACGTTCCACGAAATGATTCTTAATGATTGTTCTTCTTGATGTCGCTATATGCGTTGTTCCTGTCCGTCAATAAAACGTTTATTTTCCGATAAATTTAACATGTTTACCTTGGTCTTTGGCGGTTTTCATGGCGGGATGTATGTTTCCTAGCTTCCCGTACTTCCCATGGTAGCTGTGCTCCTATTCCCATATCACTCTTATCACTCTCCTTAAATTGTTGCGCGTGTGTAAACGATAGCTCACGCACTTTTTCTTTATCACGAGTGAAATGAAATTTCGCCACAATTGGACGGGGCTTTTTTCCTGGATGGCCTCCTTTTCCTACTCTATGCACTCTGTCAAGACCATACCATCAACTCAGGGTTGCGTTTTGAAAACAATTTTAACGAGTTCTTCACAATTTTCACTTTTCCCTCCTCCTTTGATTCCATAAAACATTAAATTTTCTCTCATTGATCTCATTTCTAAGTCTAAAATTGTATTTTCTAGTTCCGTGCTCGCCTCTATATTTTTGTCTGATATTTTCTAGGCAATTTCCACCCAATTTCGTATAGATTTAAGTACTTATTTTGTATTGTTTAGTTCTTATTATCTTATTATCTACTGTGTAAGAAGTAAATTGACTGGATAATTCTGTTTCCCAGTGTTTTAAAATTGGTTTGAAGGTCTAACACTTTCAAGTTTATTTAATTCACTGTTTGATTAATTTCATTTATTGTTTTCATTTTGCCCCTGATTTGCTTCATTTCCTCTCTGGTTCGTTTCATCTCATCTAAGAGTTCAACAGCCAATGGCGGTGGTCTTGCCTCCATTCTAGCAAACCCTCCACCACTATACTGGGTGAGGGTGGGCTCTGAATATAGGATGACTGTAATTCATAGGTATACTAAAATCATGATCGTGTCTTCAAAGTATTCCTGTGTATTTGTATTTCCTATTGATTGTTCATTCGCTTGTTTACATTTGGTGGTCCGTGCTCGTGCACTTCTCTAATAAAGGCGACTTGGCTTGCCGTTTCTTTTTTTCTTTTTTCTTAATCTCTACATTCACGTTTTGCGTGTTTAGCGTGTTCGACATTGAAGTAATATATGACAAGTATTTTAATCCATATCTTATCCAAAATTATCCAATGCAAAGTAAAATACTATATGAAAGTAAACATTATTATAGAAACATATTATATGACACGATAGCTTTACAAAGTTCAATACTTTCAGTTTGGTTTGTCCAAGTTACATATCCTTTATTAGTGAATTGTTTATCATACGAGTACTATCCGCTCTGCGTCAACATATTCATGTACTCGGGCCTTTTAGTATTTCTAACGCTAGCATAAGCTTGTGAGCCCTGTCATTATGGTGATCAAACACACTAATGTAACCATTGAACTTTCAGCCAAAGCTACGAAACCTCAATTGTTTCTATACATTGGCTATTTAATGATTATATGGAAGTAGTCCGAAGTTTTGTAGATGGTTTTCTACATCACTTATGATGGGGCGTCCGTGGCCGAGTGGTTAAGGTCGTTGACTTCAAATCACTACACCCCTCACCGCTGTGGGTTCGAATCCAGACAGGGACTTTGGAACTTTTCATGTGAGGAAGCTATCCAGCTAGCTTACGGAACGTCGGTGGTTCTACTCAGGTGCCCGTTCGAGCCTGAAATAATGCACGGAAGGGCACCTGAGGTCTTCCTCCACCAGTAAAGCTGGAACGTGGCGATATGACCTATACTGTGTCGATGTGACGTAAAACCCAAAACAAACAAAAAACAAACATCACTTATAGATCTCTTCAGCACATATGGAGCTCAAATACAAATTTGAGCAGCGACTCCTTTGTTTGTAGCCAAATCTCAATAAATGTTTAAATCAGGATTTGTCTGAATGTTAAGCATCGGTCTGTAGTGATATTTCGTAAAATCTCTGGGGTTTTTTCTGTCCATTTAGTGACATTTTCTTCATTCACATTGCATGTTTTGAACACACCAGAACCCACGACGGAAAGAATATGTCGATGAAGACTGCATAGAAATCCAAAACAAAATGGGTAATATAGAGGAGAGTCAGGAGGGTAAAATCACATTTCGATTTTCTTACAAAAAGGATTGAATTTTAAATAATGTTTTAAAAGATGAAAACTTACCCTATTTTTACAGTCATATCTGGTGTTATGCTTCACATCTAGTGCAGCGGAAATTCACATTTAATTTCTACCGATGTTCATTTTTGAGACACATATGGGGTTTCATCCCCGTGTTTTTAGTCATCAAATTTAAGTACGAGATCTGCGACAGAATGTTACTCTGTTTTACACATGCAATATTCACAATAATGATAATTAAAATGATCAATATACACGTAATACAAATATAAACTTTTTGACATATGTCTATTTTAAAAAGGTAGCACATGAAGATAAACCTTAGTACAAAATAATAAGATATATTTATTTTAAATATGGCATTCTGAACAAGTTTTTTAAATTCTTATTTCAATTTTAATGCCAGATACAATAAACATACATGTATGAAAAATGTGTCGCATTATTTTAAATATGACTGTTCATAAGATACATCAATACGAATGCAAATACAAAAGAACACACCAGCCCTTTTCATGGCTACTCTTTTCATATTATCACGTGTTACTGTACATTTAGGTTCTTATTGACTGCCGTACAGTGACTTACTTTGATTCAGAAATAATATATTTGGCTAATACTTCGTGGAAATTGCAGGAGAAATATTATCACCGGTTTTTCTTTTTTAAAATTTTCTCTTTAAAGGCATGACAAGTGACATGTCCGGGGTCCGTACTCGAGAGCGAAAACTGCTTTTTGTGCAATTGTAGGCGGATGGACCCTATTTTAAAAAAAATCATAATGATAATTATTATATCTTTATCCCAGAAAGGTTGCCATTGATGTTTACACTAATATTTTAAGTATGGTCTTCTGGTTTGACAAGTTACAACACAAAGTATAACAGTAATGATAAAAATACTGGTATAATTCAAAATTCAGAAATCATTAAGTGTACAGACATACTTTAATATAATTGATAAAATACGATTTCTCCTTATTATCAATCGGACTGACACTCGTAACTTTTTTTCAATTACAAAGGTGATAAAACAACTGATAAAATATTTCAACAATAAAACTACTAACAGTAAATAAGTCTACACTTAAAGGTGTGAATGTGTGTAATAATGTGTTTATCATAAGTAGGTAGGTTTAAAAATCAAGCATTTTCACACGTGTAACTTAATCATATCAGTTGAAACCATTGAACATACTTTTGTTGAATTTTAGCAGGATAATACCTTAACAAAATAACAGACGGATTTTGGTTGATGTTATGTCAAATAAAAAAAATAACCTTCAGTATCGCTGCAATTCTTATCAGCTTTTGTAACATTTTGCCGGGATAATCAGCTTTTATACAATACATTTAACATATTGCTTATTTTTCTATATTTCAGGAAGAAGATAACAATACCTGACGATCACCTAGAACACTTTTACATTACAACTTGTGTTATACAATACACAAAAAATGGGAGTTTCCAACAGCTCTCATAACTGGATGGCTAGGATATCATTTTACCCCGACATTGACGAAAAGCCTGATGTTGTTATCTGTAAAACAAGCCGCAATATCCCGAATGAGCCAACGCTAATTGAAGATTCGAGAGAGAGTATTCTTCAAGTGTACTCGTACAAAGTTCCAATTTTAAATATCACAGGCACGTGTCTACTCTTTTATCACAGATTTGTCATTATAGAAACCAAAAGCTGGTGGTGGTCCATTGAGAAAAACAACGTGGAAATCATTATACAAAGAAGTAAAAATGAGGCTTCAGTAAAAAACAAAATACTAGGAGAAAAGAGAAATCCGCAAGATAACATACAACTTGAAGAGCAGGATCGTCAAATGTCAATGTGAGGGCACTCTTGGAATGGCTAGATATTGAAAACGAGACCTTTGACAGATACCATCTGTTTCAAAGCAATTGTCAAGTGTTTGGTAAACGTGTTTACGAACACTTACAGGGTAAAAAGCAATTAAATTCAACACCAATTTAATATTTTGCTTTTACGACAACATTGAATGTGTAAAGAAAGTATCACGATTTGGATTACATGAGATACAATTAACAATTTGTTTGTAGTATTCAACATTTTGTTGCAACATTTACTCATTTATTATCGTATGTTGAAGAAGAAACATATCATATGTACATATTTTTGTTTTATAATTGTCATTTGAATATTTATCAGCTTTATTATTGCCCTTATTAGTGTTATTATTTTTACTATAAATATATTTTAAGTTAATGCTTTCAAAACTGACGGATTCAAAATTGATTTGTAACACCAATTTTGCTATCACGACAATTTTAATAGTAAAAAAGGAAACTATGATGACTTCGCTGATATGAAAGATATTCAACAGTTTGTTTGTAGTATTGAACAATTTACTGTAAAAAATAATCTTGTATCATTGTATGTTAAAGAGAAAATATAATCGACCATTTCCATTAGATCTTATTTTATGTAAATCGTTTATTGTATTATATTTGAAAATGATCTTTTCAGGATAAGTTGACAATATATCGTGAGAGATAAACGTATTGAATGGATTCTAAAAATGGGCCTTTTTAAACCCGTCTTTAGTTACATATTGATCAGTCTATACTTCACTTTAAGGCACGCGCAAATTTAAATTCCATGAATCGTGTTTAAAAATGTGCTTTCAATATCAATAAAACTTTACTGCACAGTATAAAAATTTTGTTAAACTTTTAAATAAGCATGTTTTATAAAAAGTTTTACAATATATGAGAGATATATTCTTTTGGGAAGATTTTTTTGTTCTAAAGAACCTTTAAAAATTTTTTTTTATTTATTTTAAATAGTACACCAGTAATTAAATGGTAAAATCCTCGCTGCTCACTGCTTTGCTGCTTAGTGTGCCCACTGCTTTGTTGCTGAGTGTGCTGTTCCGTACTATGTGGTTCAGTTCTGGTCTGTTCAGTACTGGTTTGTTCAGTTTGCCGATGCTGGTGATGACCCAAAGGGATAACAATCCAATAGTAGGGCATGAATCTTAGCTGTCGCTTTCTTCTTTCGTTTTGCCTATCATTCTGTTTGTGTCTTTCCCACCTCAATTCTCTTTCAGACTTCTCTCTATATGACTTAGCATTTTGTTGCATGATCTCTGTATTTCTACACCGGTATATCATTCTTTCCATCTCTTGCTTCACCAGTGTATAAACTTCAGTTAACAGTTGTAGACTTTTGAGTTCAAGAGTTTGAATAACTATACTATCAGTCTCCGCGACTAAAGTTTTCAGAGATGATAATGAAAGGGAAGTTAGACATGATAACATTGCATGTTTACCAGGATATTTTAAGATATTATTTAAGACACGGTAATTAGAGATTTACGTTTCATGTTACCATTTCTACGTATTCCGTAAGATCGGTATTAATGTTTGCGAATATTAAGAATAGGAAATATATCAATGCTAGGATCTTTAGAGATGTGACCTTGTTGAAAAATATTGCCATTAAAGCCCAGTGGGGAGGGATTTGCAAATTATTGATCCATTTTAATTCTATATAGATTATTCACAATGTACATGAACCTTGATCTTTAGTGGCATTTGAACTGACTGTAACAATTTTACATCAGGATTGCTGTAACTTGAAAAGTTTTTATTGTGTTGAAGAATTGGCCCGGACAAAAATAAAATATAATAATTAACAAAAGGCAATAACTCTAAAATCATGAAGTACATAGATCTATCATCCGATAAAGTTTCAAGTCCAAAGCTTTTATAATTTAGGTGAAATGGCTGGGACAAAAATAAAATATTATATTCAACAAAGGGCAATAATCCTTAAGGTATGACCCACCTAATGCATTACCTCCACTTTGAAGAGTATTCAAATAGGCTAGAACTACTGTCCACTGCATTTAAATTGAGGGGGGCATGGGTTTCAGCCCTAGAAGAGGCAACTTTTTTGTCTTTCTTTTTTTCATTATTTATGTGCTTGGTAAGAATAAAAAAAATCATTTTAATTGAAAAAATTATATTTGGTATTTGGCTTAATTATGCCAATTTTATTATCAAATATGGTACCTGATATTTAGTCTAATAAAGTAAAAACTAGACAGTAAAAGTATTTTTAATTTGACAAGCTCATCATATATACTTTTTTAAAAAAAAATGGGCAAACTTTGCAAACCGCCCCTCATTTTGATACATTTAAGGGATATTTTGAATAAGGCCCGTCAAGTAGGAACATGGTCAAAGAACTATTTAAAATTGGTGGGGAAGGGTTACATTTTCATACATATTAATAGCAATTTGAATAGAAACAATAGTTTTGCTTGTGCCAAAAGCTGAATGTTATTATTTGTTTCTTAAAAATGTTCAACAGGAAAACATTTTTATAATGATTATATTATGGATTATTTAGAGTTTCTAATTTCTGAAAAAGAGCTCTTTAAACTTTGTTTGAATTTTGTATTCAGGTGTCCTTTACGGTATATAACTGACCTATGTTGTCTATTTTGTATTTCCTTATAGTGCCTATTGGGGGCACATACCTTAAATCATGCAGTACAGAGTACCGGTTTTTATGCACTGCATTTTTCTTAATAAGATCTATCATCCCATGAAGTTTCAGATCCATAGCTTTTAAAGTTTAGGAGAAGTGGCCCTGACAAAAATAAAGTAAGAAAATTAACAAAGGGCAATAACTCAAACAGTAGGAAGTGCAGAGTACCAGATCTGGTGCATTACACTCTTTTAATGAGATCTATCATCGTATGAAGTTTCAAGTCTATAGCTTTTATAGTTTAGGAGAAATGGCCTGGACAAAATAAAGTATGAAAATTAACAAGGGGCATTTACTCAAAAATAAAAAGTACAGAGTTATTGTGCTCATGCACTCTTTTAATGAGATCTATCATCGTATGAAGTTTCAATTCTATAGCTTATATATTTTAGGTGAAATGGCCTGGACAAAAATAAAGTATGAACATTAACAAAGGGCAATAACTCACAAAACAAGAAGTGCAGAGTACCGGCTTCATCATTGAAGTTTTAAGTCTATAGCTTATATAGTTAAGGAGAAATGGTCCGGATAAAAAAGTATAAAAATTAACAAAAGGCAATAACTCAAAACTTAAGAACTTCGGGTCATTGAAAGAAGCATCCACACCAAGTTTGAAGTCAATCCGATTAAAAGTGACTAAGTTATGCTCCGGACAAGCCTAAGGGGACGCCGACGCCGACAACGACACCGCCCACAAAATTAACCCCTATATGTCGCCTTTTCAAGGCGACACAAAAAGCAGTAAATTTAGTGCGATTTCTTATTTTATAGAAATGTTCAAACAAATCGAATTTTAATGGATGGAATATTAAATGACTTAACAGATGAAAAATTTAAAGGCTGAAGAACGACACATAGTGTTTGTCTAGCTCTTCTGTGATACCTAATATGTACTGAATTTGAAGGCGTAGAGTGTCCCCGAAGAGGTGAAAAAAAGTGTGTGTTATCAAAGTTCAAGTTATTCATGATTATGTGTTGAATTAAATTGGCTCTGTGTACAGTGGGGCACAAATAGAAAAAGGAAAAACAGCGTTTCATTGACAGGGAAAAACGACGATTTTCTCAAATTTCTGCTTTGTATTCATCCGAGAATTTCCAAACCGATTACAGGTTAGTTCTCGCAGGTTTAAATGAGAAACACTGTTGATATCTCGGTTAAAGAGGGTTATATTTTGTTTACATTATTATACGGATAGAAAAAATCAATATTTATACATGTATGTATTGGACTGAATGGGGTAAATAAGAAAATCATAAATTTAAATAACAAGAATAAAGATCAACAAGGCAAAGGCAACGTTCACAGGACGCTGCCTCCGGACACACCCAAGCAGGACACCCAGAAGGCACCAAACAAAGACCTGGAGTGGACACAAGGGCGAAAGAAGTGGGACATGTAATGTGAAATAATATAAACAAAAACTGGCCCATAGGGGAATTAAAGGGATAAGGGCTGCACGGGTGAAAAGGAGGGGCGTGGGGGGGTTCATAAATGGAAGAGGGGGGAAGAGAAAATACCTACCGTCAACGACAATCCAACAAGACAGACATCACAAAACATGTAAACATTCAAAAACAAGTAACAATACAGACATGAAAAACACGTGAATGAACACAGAGGTTACCGCCTTGGAACGGTCAGTGGTTGTTAAACCACTAGGGAGTTTAAACCGGTTTAAGGCGCGCCAAATCTCACTCATAGCCCAAATATGTTCCTCAATGACACGAAAATGTATATAAAATTAATATCCGCCAAGTGAAATTCTAACAATGGTCATGGTTACATTAGACGAAATAAATAAAACACATACAAAATTATGTAAATATGTAGAAAAAGTTACAGCTTAATGACCATAACCAAAGTATTCGATGCCATTAAGGAAGGCAGAGCAACAAGAAAATCACCTACAAGGACCCGACGAAGCAAGGCAGAAGACGAACATTAAGACAATTCAGTCCCAAAGGGCTTTAAGAACTGTCCATCATAGAGTCTCCCACTTGGTCCGTCAGATGTAATCGTCCATCTGTAAAAGGCTTGAACACCAAGCATGCGGTATGCCTTAAAATAATTTGGTCATAACCTCTTTTAATAAACCGTTTGATAATTTTAGTGAAGACGGCAGAAAAATTACTATGACCAATGATCCTACGAAATTTGTAAACCACATCTACATAGAAGTCAGGTCTGCCAATACCTTGTCGTAAAAGAGTTTTCAAATTACAATTAAATTTTAAAACTAAGTCTGAATTACGATGGTAAAACTTAGTAAAATATTTCAGAAATGGGAAACAAGTAAAGGGGCGTAAGCAAGAAGAAATTTTCAACGACGTTGATGACGTCAATCGCCGAGATATTGAAAAATGACAGTCAATTGACACAATGTTCGACAGTAGGTATGGGGCGGTTCAGGTTCAGTCAACTATAACTAAGGATCTCTAATTGTAAATGCATAATTACATATATTACATTCTTAGTTTACAATTATTTTGATTATTTTATTATTTTTCGCCGTAGTCCTATGTAGAAATTCATTCAGTTAACAATTTAACAGTCACGGTTCAAAATCGGCTATGCATTTTGTTTAATTAAAATAATGACAATTTTTTCTTAGTTGTATTATTCTTTAAATTTCTCGTATGGAAGAAACATGATCATTCAGAATCATAATATTAATGCAAAATATAATAAAGTTCATTGCATGTGCGATTTGTCCACCAATCAACCAAACGGAAGGAAAGACGGAAGTTTGCGTCATTACAGGAGCTCTTTATTATCATTCATTCTATTACAATACAATAAGATACCGACTTGTACAGAGATATATAAAGGAGGTGGATCCGCCGCCATCAACATTGAACAACATATGGAACACGTATTGGCCTTCTCGAGAATGAGTAAAAAGCTGCTCCCTTTAA